AACGGCTACTTTTTCTGGTTATTATGTGAGTTTTATGTTCTGAACCTTGACAAAATTACAGAAAATGCCATTGGTAATTGCATGGGTTCATTAATAAGTGCATAAAAAAGTGAACTTTTGGGGGGATTATACGAGGTTGAATCCCAACAGTTATTTGAGTGTCATTTTGCTGTTTTTATTAATACAATAATGTAATTTTTAACTACTTTTTAAATTTTTGTTACTATTATGTGTTACTTGTAATACATAAAATTGTTACCAGCTTTTTTTATTCTTTTATAATACGATTAAAGTAATGAGTTTGGAAGTTCTATGTGTTGAGATTTGGAAGTTTATGACATGAAGCTTTAAATGCATAATTCAAGTGTGTGAAAGAATGATGCTTTCAAACAAAATACAATCTTAGGTATACTTGTAGACAAAATACTTGAATAACCTAGAAAGTAGAGATTAGAGAGGGTCGTTATCTTGTTTGTACATTATAGAAATAGTGGTCCAATTTTTCAATTCCATTTCTATGAAAGTGTAAAATTGATGGAAAGAATTAATTAAGGAGTATTGCATAGGATTGATGGAATACTTGTCTTTGTTAACATAGTTTTCATTAGATGTTATTTGTTTCTCTCAAATTAAATGCTAACTTTTATACTACTTCTGTTTTGTTGAGTCTTACTCAATTATCATAGTTACGCAAACTAAAAAAAAGTAAAAACGGAGACCATAAATGTGAATACTTTTGTATTAAAGAGGAGAGAGATAGAGGGTAAGAGATTTTATTATATAAAATTGGACTCTACAAGTGGGGTTGTGGATGATAAAAAAATGAATAAAAAGTCATCATAAAAGGAATAAAGTAAAAAATGAGTAGAACTTAAAAAAACGGATGAAAACGAAAAGTGAGTAAGACTTTGGAAAACGGAGGTAGTAAAATAAAATTAAACTAAAAATGTTGATTTTACCATTTTCACCCTATATTTCTTTTTATTATTATTATTATTGTTGTTGTTGTTGTTGTTGTTGTTGTTGTTAGAGTACTTGTTATTATAGTTCATTAACAATAGAAGTTGTGTCATTTTTTTGTTGGTATGAGCCTTAGACTCCTAAGTCCTAACTCTGCTCAAACCTTAAATGTGAGATTTTTTTATGATCTGGTATTGGGTAAAAAAAAATCGTAAAATCGCAATGATAATGGACTTCTAAGTTCTTTCAACACGTTAGCAATATTTTTTGTTTGAAAATGGTTTGGTATTATACATGTCGTATGTCTGTACATCTCATATGTTAGCCATTTTGAAGGAAAAAAAAAATACATGAACATATCAAATTTTAGTAGCGTTCTCTCATTATCAACCAAATTACTACTGATGGGGATATGGGGTGGTTGAAGTTGCCTGACTTGCCTCACTACAAACATTGTAGTATAAAGTTTGGAGAGCATTCATATCTCTTGCACTCAAGTTTCCTTCTACCCTTCTAACCCATTAAAGCCTTTAACTAGTAAATGGCTAACTATTTATAGATATAGCCATATAAGGTAACTTTTTTCTATGACCTTAGGAAAAGGATGTCTTTTATGATATCTTGAGGCTTTTTTTCTTTTTAAAGGGTGACTTGACTATACATAATGCATACCCTAGTACCCTACTAACAAACTTCTTTCATTTTGCAAAGATAAATACACTTTTTTTTTCCACATATGTCTATGTAAATTCTGGGAGTTGATATCTCTAAACATATATTTGTAAAAATAATAAGAAGTTGATATCGAAAATACATATTGAGATTAATACGACAGGATCTCACATGGTTATTTTTGCCTTGCATATAAATCACAGACAATAGTCAAAGCAGAATTTGTTAACAATGAAAGAATTCAAACTGCAACTATCTTTATGAAACAGAGAGTACAATCAAAACTGCATATTGATACACTTCTTTAAAACAATGTATTTAAAACTGACCTAACAATTCAAGCAGACAGTTCATTTGCATGTTCCCAATCAATGTCAAATCCATATTGTTAGTTATTAATAATTAATAAAATGTTACTATATGACACAAATATTAGATTTTGTTGGATTAGAGTTAAAAACATTGTACAGTGTTGTGTCTAGTTTGTGTGGGTGACAAACTGAATCCAATTTAAAGTTTAGTTTGGTTAGGTGGAGGGTGGAGCCTTGGAGTAGGTGTGGGTAGTGATGGCCTTAGCCCAAAATTAAACTAGTCCGTACTTGATCGGTTACATCTATGAATGTTACCCCTATGATCTATGAATGTGAGATTAAGCTCAAGAAACGAAAAAATAAAATAAAAATAAAACTTACGAGTAGGATTTATCAAAATTGCTTAGCCTACATACAGTTCATCATCAACAAATCATGGTGAACTCGACCTACGAACGAAGTTATTCAGCCGATGAGCCTCTACTTTTTAAGATGATCATGAAAGCTTGATGCTATTTGTCTCCAAGTTTCCATCCGTCCTCTGTGACTATTGACTAGAGTGGTACAGACGTACAGTAGAGCTTTCAAAGTTTCATGACAACAATAATCTAAAGTTCTAAGCAGAAGATCTAAATGTAGGCATAAGATAAATCCTTAAAAAAAAAAAAGGACTTCACCTATTCAGCCCACATTTTTAACAAAAATAGTCTCTGGCCCACTCTGCTTGCCCAAATTGGTGCTGTATGATGTTGTGGCCCAAAATTTGTTCAAGCCCGCCGCAACCTTTTAAGAGGTGCAAGTTTTTTTTGACAGAAATTCATAATACCAGGTTGGCACATACTGCTGAGTGCTGACAAAGTAACATTCACGAATAGAACTACTCCAAGACTTACTAGTACTTTGTATAAACTATGCTCTCCAATAATAATCTCTGCTTTTGATGCCCATCAACACTTATTATCATCCAATTTGAAACTATGTCCTCATTGATCAATTGGTCGCGACCAGGAAAATGGCCAGTTCTCCACAAGTGGTTCAACTTCTTGAATATGGCCAAAGTCGTTTTGTGGAATCAGTTGTGGAGGACTTGCCTTTTTTGTTCTTGTTCCTAGTCCTACTGGGTCTGAAAAGGAATTTTTGTGGCGGGCAGAATGATCGTGCGCTTGATGCCTAATCACAACATCAACCTATAGATGTAAATCATGAAGAATGTTTTGCTACCAGTTAAGTCACATCGTCTGCATTATACATTTCAACAAGTGAGTATGTCTTCCCAGAAAGCTAGAGCTTGGAGTTCATGCAGGAGATTTCACAGATTTGGTGCGTCACATTAATTGCAGTAGCTCAAACCAACAGATATGTTGCAGGAGTATAAAATACAGCAAATAAGAGATACACAAATCTTTTGTTCTCGAGAATGTTAATTTAAAAGAAAAACAGCACACAATTTCATTTTCTCTCACCAACTACATATCCAGAGAGCTCCCAGGAAGCGACCACCATTAATCTTACCATCCATCATCATTCCTCAGGTCAAACGTTTTTTAACACAAAACATTCTGAACTAATAAACATCAAAGTCATGAAAGCTCTGTTCCATATTTTAAATTCCTACACCCACAAAGTTTCCTATGATATTGCCATCCTATATTCATTGCACCTTCATGGGATGAAAATTACACTATCCCTAAAACAACTAGTCCGTCAATTACTGATTCAGGTTTAACCAACAGTGCTACAGTCAAAATGATAAGAAAACAAAAGCCCCTGCAGCCCTTTGGTCGGTAGCTTCTTGCAATTGCAATTTTTTACACGAGACATTCACCCAATTTAAAATTTTGCCCCCCAACTAAACATAATGAAACACCAGTCACTCGCTAATCTCCTATCTGCTAACAAGAACAGTACAGGAAGCAATAGAAAGCTAGCAGTAATACTTGAATAGCCTAAATTATAATGCAACATCTTCCCTCACCAGTTTATTCATGATTTACTTGTAACTCTATGGCTCTAATTCTCACAGGGAAAAAGCACCACCAACTGTACTAAGTTACGTCTTTACGTTCAATTTTGTTAACCCTACCAGCTAATGGTACCTAAATTCCTTCCTTACACTGCTGGCCCTCCCAACCAAAAATTTCATCTCAGATAATGCAAGGTAGAATACTCCATAGCCTAATCAATAGAATTGGCATACATAGAAATGAACATCTGACAAAAGACCTCAAGAATGTGACAGCTGTTGTCCATGATAGGTTTTAATCTTTCAAGATTTTTCAACAAAATCTCCATGATTTTCCATTATCAATGGAATTTTTCAAGGTAGAATACTCCATAACCTAATCAATGGAATTGACATATTTAGAAATGAACACCTAACAAAAGACCTCAATATGGCAGCTGTTGTCCATGATAGGTCTTTAATCTTTCAAGGTTTTTCAACAAATTCTCCATGATTTTCCATTTTCTTGCATCCCTTTAATTCAAATATTATAACTCATCTTCACGGTAAATAGTACATTAGCACCGTATGCATACACTTCGTCACCAATCTTTAGTCAAATTTAGCAATACTAGTGGAATCTAAACCCCAGCAACACCACACCAAACCACACCACCCCAATTCCATCCCCCAGCCAACTTCTTGCAGCCCGGTAAAGACTATCATGTACAATGCTTTGTTCATCTATCTTCAGTTCATTTTCATTAGGATCCATCTCAACAACACGATTATCATCTCATTATCTATGAGTTGTTATGTAAAAGTCAAGTCAAAAAGCATACTCCACAACATGTAACCTACCAAGTTCATTCGATCTATGAGGTGCATAACATGGTTGGCAACAATCACAAGAGCACAATTTTTCGTACATTCATCCTTCAACGATAAAACAACATAAGAACGAGCGTAAACTAATTAAGAGCTCGATCCAAAAACAATCATCATCTCTTCGACAAATCAAGGAATGAATTCAATATGCTACACTGCCAAAGATAACAATTCAGATTTCAGCCCATCAAACTGAGAGAATCTTCACCAGAACAAACTCATCATAATTCATGATAACAATCAGTGATTAACATTAGTGAACAAGCTCATCATACTATTTCTTTGATAAGCGATAATATTTCATATAACAAATTCATCGAATTATAACTACATTCAGTAAAAAGAAATTACACTGCACTGCTAGCAAATTGATCAAAAGCAAATATAAAGATCTACTACACATTTCTTGTATTAGATCCAGATCAACTATTAAAATAGCTAGCTACAAAACCCTAATAACCAAAGAATCCACCAATTTTCCCCTTTAATATCAGATCATATCAAATCAAATCAAACAAAAACGAATACCTCAAAATTCAAAATCAGACTCTTCCGGCGGGATTCGCGGCGGCAACAGCGGCGGAGGAAGCAGCCCCACCAAGGAACGACAATAACCCAGCATTAGGACCTTCTTGTTCATCTAAAAACAGATCTTCAGGAACCCTAAAAGCTCCATGAACAGAAACAATGGCAACCCCAATCAAAGCAGCGGAAATCAACAACGACCCAACACTCGTCAAGAAGATAACAACCACAGTAGAAACAACGAGAATCCCAAGCGTCTCACGCTCGGAAAACGTGCGACCGAAGATAACGACGGGTTGATCGGAGGGGCGGAAGAGGTAGAGGAAGATCCAAGAAGCGAGAAGAGAGAGAAGGACGAGGAGAGAGAAAGGGTGTGAGATGAGAGAGAAAGCGAGGACTGCGGCGAGGAGAGAGAGGTAATTGACGCGAAAGTAAGCGGCGTTTTTGCGGATGCGAGAGAAAGCGTCGGAGAGATTCTCGGGGCGAGTGAAGGCGGTGCGATCGAGGAGTTCGTACCAAGGGCGGCGTTGCGCGAAGGTTTGGCGGAGAGAGGTGGTTAAGCGGGAGATGAAGCTGCGAAATGCGGGGGTTGTGATGGCGGTGTTGTTGTCGGCGGTGGTGGCTTGTTGGGTGGTCATCGGAAGTGTCGCCGGCGACGACATTGTTTGCCGGCGGTTGAAGGGAGGAAGAAGAAGGAGGAGGAGATGGGTTGGTTGAGGAGATGATGGGAGAAGAAGTGATTGGGTGTGTGGTTTGAGAAGGGAGTGTTTTGGCTTAACAATGGCTGTTGTCGGTGGGGTCCCACATACACATTGTTGATCTTATAGTTGTAGACCTTGTTGTAATTGGCTCTTTGTGGAACGAGATGGAGATACATGATTATTGGTGATACAACAAATCAATTCAATAATTTCTAAGTGGGAGAGTGAGGTGACAAATGAATTGTTTGATTCCAATGGAATGAATTTATTTTGTTTGGATGGTATTGATATGTAGTTATTCGATTATGATGGTATGATTAAAGTGTAATTCTGTTATTCGAGATTTTAAAATGGACTAAAGATATGATCGAGGGATTTTAGACTAGTGAAAGTGTGAAACATCCCTTCACTCTTCTTTATCCATCAGTGACAATGGTCTTGAAAGTTACTTGTGTGTGTGACTGGCCAAAAGCCTGAAGCTGTAGGGCGTTTTGGTTTTCAAGTTGGTATTACAATGTACTCCATATTAGATTAAAGGTGATGTAATTAATGTGGTACAAGGCCTATTAAAAGTGGTCAACAATTAAACTATTGGGAATTTGGGAGTCTTCGTTAATTCGGTTCATGATAGGGTTAAGTCGTCCTTATTTTATTAGTGATTTTGTTATTTTATCTGTTAAGAGGGCGGGAAATACGGTATCTCATTACCTCTAGTATTCAGTAGTTAACTATTTATGAATTCTTTCCCTAAATCAAAATAACTATGGCGAATCTTAATTTACAATGATGCCTAACTTTTTCCCTAAAAAGGCCCTTTATTTTCTATGCATTTATTTTTTTAAAAAAGTAAATTTTTTCTTACAGAATTAGGCAACAAAGCTTATAAAAAAAAAAGGCAGCAAGCAAAAATGATGTCGTTTAGCCCTTTCTCTCATTCCTTCTCTCTCTCAGGCCCTGTTTGAGCTTCTGATAGAGTAGGGCAAAGTAGAGCAGAGTAAATATTATTATTATTATTATTATTATTATTATTATTATTATTATTATCATCATCGCATTATTATTATTTGATTTTTAACTCTTTTTATAATATTAAAAATTGTGTTAAATAATATAAAATATTAATTATTATCATTAAACATTAGTTATTATTATCAATTAATATTATATATTATTATTATTATTATAAAATATTAATTATTATTATTATTAATTATTATTATTAAATATTAATAATAATAATAATTATTATTTTTATTAAATATTAAATATTATTGTTATTAATTATTATTTTTAAGCATAACAGGGCAGAGTAGAAGCTCAAAATAACTGGGCCATTCTTCTTTGAATTTTCTCGCAAATCTACCTCATGTGGTAAGACTGACTACAATCTATAGATCAAAACGTTTCATTTGTATTCTCCCTTTTTTCTCTCTAAATTTGATTTATTTTCTTGAAATTTAGCTTCAAATGCAGAATCAGCTTCAAATTGGCGAGGAATTCTACTTAATCTATCTCTGTTGATGTGGGTTTTTTTGCTCGATAATCATTCTAGGTAAGACTCTTAATCTCTAATTATTAATTAATGAACTACGAGTAATTTTATTCAAATTGATTTTTCTGTTATGGGTTTTGGGTTAACTTACAGTTTTATGAATGATTATTGGCATTTAGTGTACTTAATGAATTTGATACTAAATAATTTTAATTAGACTAGTGATTAAGGAAATTTATGACCCTTTTTTCTGGGTTATTTAACAATTAGGTTAAATGATTTAGAAGGAAAATGGGTTTTGCCATTTTTAGCACTTGATGTTTTAAAGGGTTTGTCCAATTAGTTAGGTTACATGATTGTTGAAAGTTAGAGAATTGGGCTAAGTTTTTCCAATTAGATTTTTGTTGTACTGCTGCAAATGCTTGAAAATCCATGCTCGTATGCATTTTCATTGGTGTTGGTTGATATTTCTAATTCCAAGTATAAGTTTCTTTCTTTGAGTAGAAAGAAAAAAAAAAATGTAAGTTTGGGATTGTAAATAAAATTTTAAACCTATGTTAGATTGGCTTCAGTGGTCTAATAACCATGACTTAGTGATAATTGTAAGCTTTTGGGGGTTTTTTAAAGATTGATATTTGAAGAAGAGAGTGAATATTATTGTTCTTTCTTGATTTCTAGATCTAGCTCCTTATTTATGTGTTGTTATAATTAGGGTTTCTAGATGACAAACTCATTGATGCAGCTCTCAATTAGAGGCTCAACTACATCATTATACTAAACTACTATGTTTGTGTAGAGGTAGTTTAGCGTACGGATAGTTTAGTTTAAGGATTGCTCAAGGCACCTTGTCTGTATAACTTAGTTTCAGTTTTATTGTAGATTGCCTACAATCAAAATAATGATATTAAAGAAAGATTACTAAAAGTTTTAGGTTGCCTTCATTAGGGGTATGACTGATGAGCAGTGATTAGTTTTTCATCATCTTCTGCACTCACTCTTGCACTCTGAAGTTCTAGTGTGCGTCTACCTTCATCAGATATATTACTCTGAGTCTCTGATGTAGTGATTTACCATCAACTGCACTTTCTCTTGCATTCTGAAGTTCTAACATGCATCTGTGCAGAACATGTTAAGGAGAAATTTGGCCAGTGACTACAATCAGGTCAATTTGAGGACTTACCACTTTTTTTACTGATCACAAGAGATGTATTGTACCTTCTCTAATTTAGCATGTATAGAAGTGCAATTTACTCTAGTTCATTTACAATATAAAAAGAAGGAAAATAATAGGCGGAGATATTAGATTTCTTGTTCAGGAACCTCTTTGATGTTTGAACCTTGCAGGAGACAATGACAGATGATCTGAGAGAATATAACATCTCATTACTGGTTCTATTCTTCATCTTCTGTGTGAATTTGTGGCTCTATCTTGTGGATTTGTTTCCCTTCAAGTACTTGGCGTAGCTATACTAATCTGTGGGATCATAGGTTGTTTGTTAGTGATTAGTGATTTTCTAAGCTACCATATTGCCTTTGCTTAACTAAGTTGTTAGTTATTTGACAATGATGCAATTGGCTTTGTTGTTTGTGCAATGTATACAGGGTTCTTAGGTTTCATGTTGGAACTTGTGCATGTTATTTTCATTATTGGTGATGATTGCTTGAGTATACTTATTTTATAATTGATGTAGTTATCTGCAATTGAATTATTGTATAGTTTGTTTTGTGAAGCGTTTGGATTTGATAGGATTAGATGTAATTCATTCAGAATGTTGGCTGCTATGGTGTCTTGAACTAATTTTTTGGGTTGCTACTCTGTGCAGATCTTAGTAGGACTCCATGGGACATCTATCAACACTGCTGTTTGTCCATGTTGAAATAACTAGGGTAAAGGCCTAACGGGACAAATGAAAGTTCATGGAACACCTCAATAAATACAGCTCATAAATTTGTGCGGATGAATCATTCTTTTTGGGCTCATTCATCATTTCTCCTCTCAAAAAGCCCCTCAATGGCGGGTCCCTGACCTTCTAGTCCCTTCTCTTCTCATCTGCACAAAGTAGCTGCAATGGAGGGGAGCATCCTTGATTCCCTTGGCAAAGAACTAATCGGGGTAATGTCCCCTGTCTCAATTTGCATGCTCCTAGTTGTTCTTTTGGTATCCATTCTTTCTCCGTCCTCTTCTTTCCCATCTTCCCCTACTCCAACCCCTATTGTCACTGCGGCCAACCTAGTCTATTCAGAAAATCCATCCGATTCTACAACCCAAAAATTTGAAGGCGCTCTTCTTAATGCTGCTGTATTTATTGTACTCATTGCAGTAGTCACCTTCATCCTTGTCCTCCTTTACTACTATAACTTCACCAACTTTCTCAAACACTATATGCGCCTATCTGCTTTTCTCATCCTCACCACTATGGGGGGTGCCATTTTTCTCTCTCTCATCAGCCATTTCTCTCTCCCCTTTGATGCCCCCACGTGTTTTCTCTCTCTTTTTAACTTCTCTGTACTTGGGGTTGTCTCAGTATTCGGCAGAGGGGTTCCAATTATCATTACCCAAACTTACACTGTGATTTTGGGGATCATTACTGCTGCTTGGTTCACCCAATTACCTGAATGGACTACCTGGGGGCTGCTGGTTGCTTTGGCGTTGTATGATTTGGTTGCAGTTTTAGCTCCTGGTGGTCCGTTGAAGATTCTAGTGGAACTGTCTCAGTCGAGGGATGATGATCTTCCAGCTTTAGTTTATGAGGCAAGGCCTACGGTTTCTACGTCTAGTGGCGGGGGAAGAAGAAATGGGGGTTTGGGGCTTTTGGTTGGTGGGGTTTCAGATAATTCGTCAGTGGAGCTTCAGAATCTGGCAACAACTATTGGAAATCATTCCAATGAGGAGATTGCAGTTGATGATGAAAGAGAGAGAATGAGGAATGAAAGGAGTGATGATCAAGGGGAAACAATACCGTTGGTGGTAGCGAACTCAAGTGAGATTGGCGTGGTAGATGAAGAAAGGTCACCCCTTGTGGAGATGGTTGCTGGGGAGGGGAGAGATGGCGGTGATGGTAATGAGGAAGCCATGACTGCTGGTATCAAACTTGGACTGGGAGATTTTGTGTTTTACAGTGTTCTTGTGGGTAGAGCTGCAATGTATGATCTTATGACAGTATATGCTTGTTACCTTGCTATTATATCAGGGCTTGCTTGTACTCTCATTTTGTTGTCCGTGTGTCGTCGAGCGCTACCAGCCTTGCCTATTTCAATTGCTTTAGGGGTAATTTTTTACTTCTTGACTCGATTGTTAATGGAACCTTTTGTTGTTCAGACGTCAACAAATTTGATGATGTTCTGATGAAGCAACTTCCTCCACACCCAAAAAAGGAATAAGTACTACAGTCTACAGAAGATTATGTTTTTCCAAGAGGGTTGTTCTATTTGCTAAGAGGTGTTGTGTTGTTTGCTGTATTTTTGACCGGGCAACAAGCCAACACATTCTTTTTCAGAGTTCTCGACATGGATGACTGAGATTTATCAAATCTTTGTCTCTGGTTTTGCTGATGTGGAATAGAGTGTACAAGAAATGCATTCATCAATTCTGATGCTCGTATATTTTGCTATGAGAAGTGGTTTCACTCGACCATGGAAGGTAATGGTGTAGCTGGCAATTAAGATTTTTTGCGTCAATGCTCAATTGTTTCATTATATTCCCTCTGTCCCTTTATTTTTGCCCCATTGCCATTTTTTGGGTCAAACTTTGAAAACTTTGACCATAATTTACTGTTAATCTATAAAAGATAATATAGTCATGCGTGATCTTGTTAAATTCGTCTCATTGTATATTTTATTAATATCATGTTTTTATAATTTTTACGTATATGAAAATAAAGATATAGACGTTTTAAAACGCGTCATAGAGACCGCGCACAGTCAAATGGGGCAAAATAGGGACAGAGGGAGTAGTTATGTTGTGCCAAGAAATGATTTTCACACTCCTGATATTAATTTTGGCATTCCTCTTTGTGACCAATACCTTAGTAATACTGTAACTACGCAAATTCAAGATTGCAAATCAAGACAATTTTTGCGCATGTCTTTCTTTTTTCTGCTTCATGTTAAAACTATATCCTTTTAAGACTAATTGTTCGTACAGTTTTGCAACTTTTTTAAGCCTCTTTACATTCTAGGACTAATTGTGTATTCCTTATTTCAGAGTATTTTCAATTTGATGTTGATAGGTGCTATTAATGTGAGATTACTATAAACATAGCTTGGGTTAGGTTGGCATTTGATTCATTAATTATAGCCTGTGGGGTGTGCTCACCCTTTTAGCTTCAAAGTTCTAAAGTCACTACCTAAAACTAAGTACTTTTTTGGCGGAAATTTATGACCAAAAAAGTCATAAATATATGAAAAAGATGATGCCACTTTGATTCTAAGAAGCATATGCCTGAGCTTAAAACCAATAAAAATAAAAAGGGATATATTTGATCTAATTCAAAGATATTTTAGCACATGTAATAGCAAAACGTGCTCGCATGTATGATGTAGACGAGATTTTAATTTCAAGTCTTTAATACCATTTTCAAGATTTAACAAGTTAAATTAGTTTATAAACTCTAGGAAAAATGAGTGTGATTCTAGTACATCTGTGGTACATCTGAACAATAGACATCTTAATCCATCTTCCCTCTGTTGTGAGTTGTGACAGAAGTGTCCTATAAAAAGAGAAGTTGATTCATTAGAAGGCGATAAAATGATACAATAATAGTAATTAATTAGTGTGATTTTAAAATTACAGTCAAAATAATGTTATTCAACATTTAAAATATCTACGAAATTTCCATCGTAAAATTCTATCACTACCCTTTCTAAAATTAGAATTATATAATTATACATGAATGCATTATCATCTTCAAATGTTATCGTAATTATAATCTTGTCTTCTGGCATATGATTGATGTTGAGCTTTATATCAAGTATTCAAGCATACCCATTGAGGATATACTAGAATTTTTGCCTAACCCTTATTTTTTATTTAGCTTACATCAATCTTTTGACTCGCATTTCAAATTGTTTGCTTATTTATTTCGGCTACCAACATAGTAACAAACATTCCTTGGCGTGAAGAAGATGAGAAGATATCAGCCTCTAATTTTGAACAGATCCACCAATACTATATTGGTATTAACATATACGTATACGATTATCTCTTGGTGGGTGTAGCTAGGTTACACATACGGTACCTTATGAGGAGGCATTATTTTCATTTGGAGTAGAAAAGGTTGTAAGCGAGACATGGTGTAGATGATATTCAATTTGATGTCATGAGTACTAATCCATGACTGTAACCATTTAATATAATCGACCAGGATATCAAAAATAAATGTATCATGGCGATTAGAGGCCTATGTATGCATGAGAAAATTTCGGACATTTGAATAAGAAAGTTTTAAATAAGACCGTTTAATAATAGTAATTAAATGCAAACATGAAATATTGCTCCAAAAAGGTAACAATTCACTAAGGGCCTCACAATAAATAGTTGTTATTCTTGTGAAATGTTATCATATGAAATTTTCCCTTCATGAAGAGGTTTCCTAATATAATTTCTACAAACCATAATCCAAAAAAAAAAAAAAAAAAAAAAAGAAAAAAGAAAAAACAGAGTATTTTTGCCTATCCCGACTACATCATGTATACATGTTCTTGTGTTCATCTTCTATATACAACGTACCAATATGAACGGTAATCATTTATCATAAGCTAACTTGAACTAACTTGTGTAACACTTATACCTGCAAAAACAAGCAGTTAATTTTCTGCCTCAAATTTAAAAATGAAGGGTAAAAACAGGTATGCTTCAGCGAAAAAAACAAAGTAAGAATGAAATTGTTACCTAAACATCAGTTATTTTCCAGGCTTTCCCTCCTATGCTCAACAAGCAAGCAGAAATATCAAAGATGCCATGACATGAGCATGTTATACTCCAGCTGATATCATACATTACTAAGTTTAGCAATGTATATACAATTACTTTCCTCATATTATACATTTCCTTTATTAGTAAACTGTAAATGTGATTGTAAACAGACTTTCAGATAAGTCCAACTAGATTTTTAATCATATCATCTAATCACCTTAATTAAAACTCCACGACTTTAAGGCGGTTAATATCTGACTCATCAGATTATGAGATGTCAGCAGTACAATCTCATAAGGAACTCAGAGGAGGTGTTTACTTAGGCATATTGCTTCAGCTTGCAGTAACTTCAGCTAACAGAATTTTACCAAATATAGCTTGTTCATATCCAAAATGCTACAAGGCATCTCATTCTTGTACAAGACATCCCCAAAGAATGGATTTCTTGCGCGATTCACCAATCATAGGCCTCATATATAATTAATCAACCTTCTTAAGGTTCTATGTTCTTTAGACTTTCTAGCATTATTATTGCTTTCTTTTGACTTTTTCACCTTGCTGGAATCTAGCTGCAAAAAAAGCTTCTTCCTCCCAATCAATTCTGAGTCTATAAATAGATTCAAAGCTCGTCCTTGAATCACAGAGAGTAAACATGGCTATTGTTACATGTGGAAATGCCGATATATGGGCATGGATCCAAAACCTTCCACCACCAACTCAATGGATGAAGGATTCGATGTCAACATGCATATGCTCATCAAACACATCATTGGCAACCCTTAGTCTCAACATAACCAGAAACACTTCAACCCAATCACTTTCTTTTGCCATATTTGCAAATTTTAACCTCCCTGTAACCCTTTGGATCTCAAAACCAGTATATATCTCTACTTCCTCAAACCTCCTGAGTGATGATAACACGATATACAATCTCATTTCAAATTTCATCCAAGACGTTCTCAAATATGGACCTACCAAACAAACTCATCCCTTCATACTCCCCAAATTTAATCCTTCGCCTAACTTGAAAGACATCTTCAATGTTTCCTTTCTTACCTTAGTTTTCTTAGTTTGCATTTATGAAGCTCCTACTGATCTTCGTTACAATTGCCTTAAATCTCTAAAAGATATGCTTTCGACTTCCCAATCTCGTGAAGCCTCAAAGCAACTCATAAGGCTCTTAGGGTCTAAAACCGAGGAGCAATGGATGAGATGTCTAAATCTCGCTATCACAAACTGGAAAATGGAGCTAAAAGCAGCCAACCGCATCCTCAAAGGACCTTCTCCTCTATATTCTCATGGATTTTCAACTTCTGGGTTGTGGAAAGTTCAGCTATATTGCCCTATAATAACCATGGAAGTTGAGAACACAAACGGTTCAGCTGATGAGCGTTTAGCTTTTTCTCTAAACTACCACCATCTGGAGGGTGTCATGCAGCTCAACTGTAAAACCATACTGAGGGAGAAATGGATTGAAGTAATGGTAAACATCGACAACATAAGGTACGGAGTATTCACTATATATACACACACAACCTATATACTTTTATTTTGATTAGGGCACTAATACGAATGTCAATTCATACAAAAATAAAATAAACTACATTTAAATCTCAACTACAGTTACAAAAACAAAAAATACCAAGGAAAATCATTCTAGTACACATACTGCAATTCTTACAATAGATTTTACTTATTAGAATTAATCTTCAATATTCTGAAAGTATTGAAATGTACTCCATACCATTTTCTTCTTGGCTTTATTAAAGTATTTTGCTCGATCTTGTAAGTACAATGTTTGATTTATGTTTTATATTAAATCTTCTCTTACAGATTAGATGTCATCCGACTTGTAAGTGAGAAAATTCTAAATGATCGAGGAGCAGGGGCAGCAGAAAAGCACTTCCCTTCAAGAATCTCACTCCAGGTCACTCCAGCGTCTCAGGCAGACATCTTAAGCGTCTCAGTGAGCAAGTCTTCGGAGAATCCCAAGAAGGAAATCGAAATAGAGAAGACAATAGAAGGATCATTCGAGCCTCTAAACAAAGTGGGAGTACAGGTATCAGCAGGAGAGACAACAACAACAGTCTTCAAACCATGGAAATTTGAAGAGACTGCAAAGGGTGACAGTGGGGGTTTGAACTGGTTTCTGCATGACAGTGGAAACGGAAGAGAGGTCTTTTCATCTAAGCCTTCTCCGATGAAATTGTTTCAGCCTAAGGCGTGGTTTAAACACCGGTATTCTAGTGCATACAGGCCTTTTACCAGACAGGGAGGGGTCATATTTGCAGGAGATCAGTATGCAGAGACGGTATGTTGGAAGGTGGACAAATCAGCTATCGGGAAGAAAACAATGGAATGGGAACTAGCAGGTTGTATTGGATTAACATACTGGCCAAATAAATACAGGACATTCTACAACGAAACGAGGAGGGCCGAGTTTAGAGAAACTCTGCAGCTCACACTAATGTAGATTGATTAGAGTTAACCATGTAGATAAACTCAAGTTTAGCCAATCTCTAATGTCATGTTGCACTGTAATGTAATATATCTCTCTTTCAAATTTTACCAGTAATTAACGATTTAACCTACACACCTGTATGGCTCATTGGCTTGTGAAGCAGTTAGAGGGCAGTAAGTTGATCATCCGTTTTCTTCGATCACTCTAGTTAGTACAACTACAACCGGTGGCGCAACAAAAATAGACGACACGAGTCTATAATCCACAATAAAGTCTTTATCTAGTGGAGATCCTGGTATCGATTCTCACCCTGCCCTTGTGGCTCTCTAAACACCAAAAAAAAAAACATCTCTGGAAATAGACATTATAAGGTAGTCTACTTACAAGTCAATCGATTAGCAATAAAAGAAAAGGTCATAATCAATCATCTTTTCATTGGATTTCAACTTTCAAGTGACTAACTTATGATAACAAACAAGAACTAACAAATCAAAAAGAATTACACGTACAAAAAATGATGAAATTTTTCGATCATCTAAACCCTAGTAATTCAACTACCAATCAAATTGAACAAGAAAAAATAATGCAATTACATAATCATACATTTATAGAACATAAAGTTTAATAGCCAATACCAGGTCGCAGAAGTGCCACTGACTCGGCACTTTAGCCTTTCCTTTGTTAGTTGCTTAAGTAGAGGTATGATTTGGTAATTGTTCACTCCGTGCCTTAAAAAATTGTCCCGTTATTATTTTTCACTCCGTGCAATTTTGAAAATATTTATACTGTACTCTGCATTATTTTTGTTTCCGAAAGGTCTTAACATATACGAGTACAATGTATAATTTAAACACACAAATTGGAGTTGGAAAATGGTTTGATGTGGCAATATTTAGTTATTTACCCTATGTTTCTCTCTATACTCAACATGATGAGCAAAAATATGTAAATAGAGCTAGCCATCTTTTACATGACGACACGATAACATGATCGAACTGACTCGATACGAACACGAAAGAAAACACAAAGTTGACATGATGCGACATGAAACTAACCTAAACATGGCACGTTTTGATAAGCTAGTCAATCATGCAATTATCCGAAATTTTGCATAGTTTTTGATAAGTTTTGTGAAAAACATTAAATGTACACGAGATCAAGACACAACACAACTTTTTACAAGCTCTACACATAGTGGTTTTTTAGAATTTATTTTTGTCAGAGCAACGCCTGTCATTAACTTAAATGAAAGTATACTAAAATGATTATTAGTGAGGATTGCTCAAGAGAACCAAGCACTACATGGTCTAATGGTAAGGATTCTATCTCACAACCTTGAAGTTATGGAATAATTTTCTCTAAAAAGCGGGGATTCCTTTACCCTTTCCCCCATTTTTAATGCGTTTTGTCTGCTAACTAGAGAATAATTTTGATATCTAAAAATAAGAACATGCGCACGGCCGTGAAGAAAGAGTGAGGCTTTCACAGTTAAGACAAAGAAAGAGAGAGGGGCGGACATTTCGAAGCAATATTGGGCATACTACTACTTCCTCACCTTCTCCAACTTCTTAGACTTTCTTCTTACTACCCAACCTTCTTTCTCTCTCTTCCCACAGATCTCCTCCATTTTTCCCTGCATTTTCTTGTTTGATTCTTCATTTCATTTCCATGGAGACTGCCGCCTTCCGTCGTAAGCCTTTCTCTATCCTCTCTCTCTTTCTCTTCACTTTTGTTTCTGTATGCTATTGTTCTTCATTTTCACCTTCACTTTCTTGTTTGATTTATGCTGTTTTTGGTGTAATCTTTGATCCATTCAACCCCTTTTCCCAGCTTTTTCTAGATTGGAATTGTAATTGTGTTGATGGGGTGTTTAGATTTTATCACAAATTATCTTCTGTTTTATGATTTTTTAACTTAAACCTGTGATTTTTGATTGGTTGGTCATATCTCTAATTGATACAATTTGGGAAATTTTGAATGACTAATTTTCCCCCTTTATGTTAGTGGCAATTGAGGTGATTGTGTCGAATTAGTGACAATCCTAATAGACTGATGGAAGTTATTGATTATGTAGCCAAGTAATGTTGCATTAAGCATATCAAATTTTGCGAAATATGGTTTCCTGCTTGTTACATTTGTGATTATGGATAGCAAAATTAGAGACTTTTTTGGGTTGTAGTGTAGATTGGCACCTCTATGAACATTTGCCCAGTAGTTGAGGCTTTTGATGATTTTAACGACAATAAGGGACTAAGGGAGACTGGGAGAGTTGATACAAAAAAGGATGGAGTTGGCTACATGAACGCACATGAATCGCTCATATGAATACTATCTTGTGTTTATCTATAACTGATGTTATGTGATCTTGGAGATTCAATTGTGTCTTGTCTTGTTATACCGCTTCATATTAAGTTATCCACTGTCTTCCTCAACTTCTTTTGATATCACCATTATGGCATTATCCCATTTCTACATTCTTTGGATTTGTGCCTACTTTGGATGCCTTCATTGTGGATTCTGTCTCAGCTACCCTACCTTGATGATTAAAATTTACTAATAGTGTGAAAGCCATTGGCATTCTAAGCTTTCCAGGGGATACAAAAATATAAATATCATTTTAATTCAGTATTTAATTCACTTGGAGTTTCATGGTTAGTGAGGGATTTGTGGATTCATCCTACATACTCTTCAGAGTTCTATCATACATACTAGTTATTTTATGATGGGGTGATTGGGATGAGATCTATATGGAAGAGGACATAACATGATCACATGATAACATGATCTATATATAAATATCATGTTTTATGCTCCAAATAAACATAATTTAGACCATTTACTTTGGAAAAACTCCGATTTGACCTGTCTGGAGTGGTTTTTATTGAAGGTAAGGGAGGATTTTAGCAAGTTCTGAACACTCTTTTGGCCTTTAGGATGTGGTGATAATATTAAAACACCCACTACTACTACTTTCCCAATGAACACGTATATCTTTGGTTACTAAGACTGTCGTTAGTTTTATTCTTCTCTAAAAATCAGTGAGAATGGACTGTCTCTATTCGAAATTTGTTTTATAAAATTTGGATTTAGGCCTATTCAGCTGAACTGTATGAAAATGTGGCTTTGTTCTGTAAATTATATAATGTATATTTTGCCTTCATTCTGTGCTTAATTGTTGTTACTGGTCCCAGATTTATAATATCCAGATCCTCTTCTGCATTGTGAATTCTATGTCTTTATTTAGGAGCAATGAAAATATGATGTGATTGTGTAGATTTATCTCTTGATGCGTCATTTTGTCTTTAATTGGCCTATAATAGCATAAGCCATAATTATGGTATGACACTGAGACAACACTGCTTTTCTGTGTGGAACTTGGTGTTTCTGCATCATAGTTTCTGCTGGCAGCATTTCACATGCTTGTTCTTCGCTTGAGAAGCCTGGTCTGGCTTCCTGGCCCACTGTGGTTCAATCTCAGTGCCAAACCCTCAATGTTGGAAAGCTCACCTCCTCCTCAAGGCAAGCAAGAATTGTAGTGTCATGTGCAAAGACACCTGAAACAACTGTGTCATCCAATTCTGATGGTGCGTTCTTTATTGTTAGCTTATGTTATCTTCTAAATTCTAACATTCATTCTCTCTTTTCCCTCAAGTATGCCCTTCCTGATTTGACTTTAGCCATGGATATCTTCTTAAATAAGTATTATGAACAGTTCAATTTGAAATAATTGAATGTTTCTATTATCTACTTAATTAAATTCATCCACCTGAAAATTTGTGCCTTGCAATATTGTGAGTCAGAAATTTCAAGGTGGATAATTTGATTGGACAGAGGGAGCAGAATCTTTGCAACTCTCTTTTGTTTGTTTTGTAGTAGCTTTCTTGATAGCAGTACATGAATATGTTGTTCTATAGTCATACATTGAGCCATTGACTATAATTTAATGACTTTATTGGGACAGCTCCAGTAAACAACAGATCAAAAGGCTCAACAGAGAAACATGCTGTGCGCACTACTTTCCCCAATGCATTTGAGGTATGTTGGCCTCTTTTCAACATGCTTTTTCATGATGCATGTTAACATAATTTGTGCATTATGTGCAAAGAGAATTTTTTCCCCAAAAAAATATACATTGGCAGCACTCTTTAGTTAAACCCATGTCTTTCATGCAAGGGACGATTACAAGGTAAAAATATTCAAAGCATTATGTTATAAATGTCACACTCATCATTTACATACGATATGTGTGCATCCTTCACTTATATTATCTATTAGCACCATCTTAACACCTCTAGCTAGTATTGAGAATTGAAGAAACAAAGGAGCAAAATGCCATGCTTGGTGCATTTCATTCCAACTCATTGAAGGTAGAAAGATAGCTGGTTTGCCTTGCACATTTATTTACTCGACTTTTTCAGAGAACAAATAATGATAAAAGTACTAAAATGCCATCCATCATGACTTGGTAAGCCACTATACAACTTTTAAGAAAAAAAAAATCATAATAGAGTATTCAATTATTCATTATGTTTAAATTAATATTTTAATTGATACTATTCAAATTTTACAACCTTAAAAGGTAGGGCCGTTGGGGCGATGGTATCTACCTCTCATTTGTTATTGATGCTTAGTATATAAATGCTTTTAGGGGGAAAATCATGAAAGCTTAATTTTCACATGTTTCATCTGTTTAATTACAAACTATTTTAATGGTTGAAACTTTCTTCAGGCATTTCTCTTGGAGGTTTGTGATGAAACAAGTGTTGCTGAGGTACAGCTAAAGGTAATGCTTTTTAATTCAAATGTAATAGATGGTTTGCTTTTTACATGTTAAACTCTCTCAGGTATTCTTGAAGTTTATTAGGGATCGAGTTTTGAGATCTCCAACTGATTACTAATGCTTTAATTAAAGTTATAATGATGGAAGTCAAACAAACTTGTCTTGAGTTGATATTTCATGCTAAGGTCTCCTGAATTGAAGTTGCAAATTTAGGGGGTTTTGTATCCATTCCCAAAAAGATTACTGTTTTGTTGATTAGGTTAATGTTTGTGAGATGAATTTTTTTACTGGGAGTAGTTGGGATACCGGACTGTGAGTCTACTTATT